ATGAGTCAGAGCTGTTCCAAGGACAGACAGCTCCATGATGGGTAGGTGTCGGAGAGCACAATGCAATGCTCCCGTGATGTGAGAGAGGGATAGAGGGGCCCTGAGCTTCCACAAGTCTTTTCTGTCTGGTGTCTTTGAGAGGAAAGGGAGAAGTGGCAAGACAGTGTGATAAACGCTTCTTTGAGGTAAGACTTTAATGAATGGGTAAAAGCCTCAGATACATTATTTTTATATTGCTAACTACCATGATTCATCCATTTCTATGCTCTAGGGAGAAAAATAAGAAGGAAACACTTAGTAAGGCCTCAGTTTCATTTAATATTGGTAATGAACGTCAAGAAAACTGTAGGAAGCAGAAAAAAACCAACCTCATTCCAGTTGGAGTGGCATTTAATAAAACTAAGCAACTCTGGAAAAATAAACTCAGGAGGTGGGTGGCACATGGAAGGATTAATTTGTGTTAATTAGAAGTTGTGGAGGAGGAATATTTTGAAGGGGGGAAGCAGATTCAAAATTTCAGTGAACAATGTGATAAATACTAATTAGTCAATTATTTCTCCATAGTGGCAAGTGGCTTTCAAAGCCATTTCTTCTGCAACTGTCACTCCTCCTGTTGAGCAGCTAAGATGTGCCCCACACAAGCCTCAGACATAACTATTCTGGCAGGACCAGTTTGCCTCTCAGCAGTATCACTCCTTTTATCTGACATTTGATAAGGGCAAAGGATGAGGGAATAGAGGTTGTTCCAGAGAATCAAGGTTATCTAAATTATACATTTAAAAAGGAAAAATGTGAGAGGCTAACTTGTAGAGGAAAAGCTCAACACACTTATGAGAAAGACTAGAAATAGAAACTATTGTGAACATCCCAGCTCAAGATCAATTATATCTTAAGACTGTCTATATACAGATTGCCATCCTTCTGCCCTATGCACAGAAGACTTTAAACTTTATCATGTAATTTCAGAAAGCCCATCATTCAATGTTGTGGGAATAAACAAAATGAAACTAAACACCAAAGCCTAACACAGACTAACTGCTGATTATCAGGAGACAAAAGAGGGAGGGAAAGACAGATATATACAAGATCTAGAAGACGGTGGTTAGTATCATCTTATTAAGGCTGCTGTGATAACACCAAACATGAACTAACCTGGAGAGCCATACTCATGTCTTGGTAACCTACAGATCTTAGGCATCACTTCCATTAGGGTCTTGACATACTGAAGAATTGTCCCTTGTAACTAAGAGAAAACAAATGTATGCAAACATGTCAGTGTTATTGAACGAAGAAACTTTACAAGGAATTGCATTCAAACTACACATGAATTAAAGCAGTTCTAAAAATCTTGCGTTTAATTCCACCAGTCATCATATTTAAAAAGGCAACTTTTTCAGATGAATAGAACTTCACTTTCCTTCATGTGGCATTAGACACCTTTTACTACAAGAAGAGTGGCACTACAGCTAAGGCCAGGAAGGTAAAAAAGATGAAAACACGCTCTTGTCTTGCACACTGTCTCTATTGTCCAACTAACTTTTAGGTTTTTGGTAAAAAAGTTACATTTGAATACTTTCAAAACTATTCAAAAAGCATTTGCATATTTTCAAAAGCAACAAGAGAGAAAAGCTGATGATCAGATATGACTGTAACTGCCCAAACTGGCTCTTCTGGACATACCAGTTGAGACATAGTTCCCAGCCTACAGTCAAGTCTGTCTTCCTCCCACTAGATACCTATCTCTTACCTATCTCCCCACATCTGAGCATCTGCATCAGGCATAGGCAGGATACCTTCCCCCAGGCCTTTTAACTTTCTTTGTAAATGACTAAGTGTTCAATGCCACCTTTAATGAATTGAGAAGATTTACCACTAAGTTATTAAAAAAAAAAATCCCTCATAAAACACAACAAACCAACACTCAACACCCAAACCCTAAAAAATATATGTGATTTCCTCTTTCCCTGAAGATTAGACTACAGCACTTCTTCAAGCATCCTACAGCCTTTCTAGAACACCAAAAATGTAATTAGAACATTTTGGGAATTACTGTAAACAAACTGCCAAATGTGTCAAGTGCCTGAAGTGTGATTATGAATGCCACAGTTTTCCCCAGCCAGATTTTTTGGCAGGAAGCTTCTTACAAGCAACAGGGACAGGGCAGAAAAGACAATTTCTTTGGCTTAAATTAACTGCAGTACATTATGGCTGTATATATAGATACTAATAATATAGCAAACAGTCAGCCCCTCAACCTCCTCCTAGTTACAGAAAAGGTCCTTTCCAATACAGGGTCCCCAGGCTGTATGGGTAACATCTTCAACATCTGGTCCAAGCACCACTGCTAGATCAAACATGGAGATCAAACCTGGCTTGTTATTAAGGAGTCATCTACTAATGATGTCCTTAGTGACAGCCCTGAAGTTAGGCTCAAGGCAGAAAGCACACTCCAGCTGTTGTCAAAAACATATCAAGAAAGAAAATTTACAGTATGGTCTTTAAGTTGAAATCAACTCATTTGAAATATTCACACTTTTCCAGAGTCTACCTAGGCCCTAACATCATAGGTCTCACAAATTAAATTAATCTCTAATGAAGAATCTCAGGTTTTCAAAACACTGCTCAGGGTACCAAGGCATATCTATTGCTTGCACAAGACTGTCAAGTCCAGCTTATATTGAACCTCAATGGAAGTTATTTTAATTATTTTTATCCAAGATCTTATTTTCACTTTGTTTTCCCTGAGACATTTCCTACCAGAAACCCTTTGGAATAGCAGAAAATTAAAGACAATTAGCATACCAGGCTCTTGACAACTTTCAGCAATTCCTCCATCACCACAGCAATGCCCTGATATCCAAGAAGTCTACAGATGACTTTAAAGTGAGGGGGACCAACAAAATTCCTGTAGTTGCTGTAGATGCTGGAATATGCAAGATTCAATGCCTAAAATGAGAGAACACATATGATTAATGGAAACTTTGTCTGCTTGTACCTTGATAATAATATAATTTAAACAGTGTTTTAAAGCATAATAAAACTAAAATAACATTGTATCCCACTGTCACTCTGGAAAATTTAATTACAGAGTTTCCCTTTTATAAGGCAGGAACTTCAACCAAAATCTCTGTATTAGCAAGACAAAGTTGTAAACACTTTTTTTTTTCCACCAGACATCTTCCATTTACCATTTATAAAGCCATTAACATTTCTCTTTTGTATTTTTTTATTTACATGAGTATAAAAGGCTTAAGAGTAGTCAAAGCCAACGTTCAGATCCCTGAATTTAAAGCACAGCTTCTTTTCCTATATCATCCATTTTATGCACAAAACATCTTGAAAGAAGTTACTTCAATTTTCTGTTTTAAGTCTCTGAGTACTCACCTCCAAGAAAAAGCCTTCTGCAGTTACTGCTCTCTGCAACTAATTAATAAGGATCTTTCTTCTTCAAACCCCTTAGCTGTACACAAGATCAAAGCAAATCTAAGTTTGGGATGTAACCTCATGGAAATTCTTCAAGAGCTGTATAAATAGGACAAGGTGCTTTGCCATATTATCATTTATTTCTATGAAAGTGAACACAACTGTACAGACTGGTGCTGTACAGGGATTTAAGGACTGTTTGCTGAAGCCACAGATCAGAGAGGAGTCAGATAACTTGACATCCTCCATTTCTGCAACTGAGTTGTTCTCCTAATATCCTGAAATTCAATTTTAAGAGGGAATCCTGCTCTTTCTTTCTCCTTTCTTACAGAAGGCACTGTCGTGTTTCCTTTTATTTTTCTGCAGTTTCATTCTCTCTAATACATACATGGAAAACAGCATACTATTAGACTTTTAACTTCACACACAGCTGTTACAGAAAATTTTCCAGGGAGAACATTCCCTTCAATGCAGATCCTGCCCTAATTACCCATGCAAGTCAACACCAGATACTGGAATTCAAGTAATGAAATTCTACCAAGCTCCTGAAGGATTTTAGTCTCATAACAGAAAAAGACTTAAAAACCATCTTTAGAAGCAATCAGGATCGAAAATGCATATTTTTATTTATGTTATAAATCTCTATATAAACACTAGTTTCCAACTGTGGTCTTAGAAATTTAAAAATTGCATTCTAGATGCAAACTAAAACAGACACTTGAATAATTATTAGAATCCTAATACATAGCAGAGTCCTGCTATTACATCAGAGCTGGCTAAAAGGCCAAACTCCAAACATGTCCCACCAGGGGGACAGTCTAAAGCAGCATCCCTCTAGTGCAACCTGTGCATTTCCATAGCTTTCCACAAATGGAAAAGGGCTCCAGGGCAAAGACAGTGGAGAGAGCTGGGAAAACTTTAAGAACAGATGTGCAGATCAATGTCCTGGTACACTAAGCATTTACACAACTGCCCCTAAAAGATGAGATTTCCTCTTTTGCTTTTGATGTTTCCAATCAGGTAGGTCTCCACAACAAACACGTCCAAACTATCTATTTTGACTATAGCACAAGGAGAATTTTACTTCAGTAGGTAAAGTCTTTTACTGCTGTGAGGTTAAGGGGAGGGAACTTCTCTTCAGACAGCAAAAATTTGTCACAGACAAGCAAGCCCTAAACCCATGATTTCAGTATTTAAAAAACTTCACAATAAGAAGTCAGTCAATCTAAAAATACATCTTTCTTTAATGTAAACCTCATAGGAGAGTACCTAAAATGGTCCACTGTAAATGCTGGATTATTGAAGCTTTATGAACTGTGAGAAGGGATTTAGAAAACACCATTACACACCACCACCACTTCCCCCCCCCATGATGCACAAAAGCATAAAATCCTTAGAGAAGAAGCCACCAACAAAAGGGGAGTGGGGGTGGAGAGGGAGGGAAGACAAGTTGTTGTTCATTATTTTTTAATCTATACTTGCTCCCTCCCCTACTTAAATTAAAAAAAAAAAAAAAGAGTTGTTAGTTGCTGATGTCATCTAAGTGCTAACATTAATCACTCACAGCATCACTGGTCCACGCACAAGAGCATATAACAGGGATGCTCAAGCAGTACACTGTCCAAGGGGAGGCAAGCAAGAGAGGGGGGAAAAGACGTTATTTTTTTTCTCCTGTATAGTCTTTGAAAAGCCAGGCAACAGCATCTTTAGACAAGATGTGCTCTTGCATGAATTTAAGTGGAAGAGACAAAGAAACCATGCCACTAGCAGCATCGGAGAAAAAAACTGAAATCACCAAGCACTGAGAATTCAATCCAGGGAATCTGAGGGGAAGAAAAAGCAAACTGGCAAACAGGGGATCAGTCAGGAAATAATTCGTGTGGAAAGGGATACAGAAAACTTGGTATCTAAATCATTTTCACAGCAGCAGCATCATATGAAAATTCTATTCTGAAATTTCCATCAGGAAGTGACGGTAAGTACTGACTTTACAATCCATAAAACATCAAATGGTTTTTCCAAACACTTACATGTCAGTAACTATGTGTCTTCTAATAACTGATGTTTTGCAACGTTAGAAACGTTGTTTTTTAATTACAGTCCAAACATTCTACTTACAAAATGCTGTGAGGATTAAATTGGTGAAACTATTGTTTCTAGGCTGTGTTAGGAAGTGTTCTAAAAAAAAAAAAATTTATAATTTTAAGTGCTAGGGATATACCAGCTAAAGAGAAGACAGTCGAGAAAGTAAAAGCTCTGATCTTACTAATGCACCCAATTTCAGTATCTGCAGTAGCTGGGTGGATGCCAAAATGTGTCTGTCTGATAAGTTTATTTGATAGCCAACTCAGTTCCTTTATATTGTTTCTGTATTAAAAGGGTGCACTTACCACATAATTAGAACAGTGGCATCTACTCGGATCATTCATATCCATGGTTTTACATCATAATGAAAATAAACATACATATTTTTCTTCTCACTTCCCAATAAGTATAATCCAAAAGCCTTAAGCAACAATTTTCATACATAAATAGGCATAGAATTCTTACTATTAATGTAATGTCACTATCAAAATCCCACTAAAATAATATATACTTTTCCAGTCTTCTATATAGTATAAAATATAAGCATTACAGAATAATTTCAGAACATGTTATAAGCAAATCTTACAAGATTTCTTCCTCAGAGAATTTTCAATACTTAATTCCTATTTAGCCAGGAGATGTAACATTTTAAATCTGATCCTAACAAATTCATTTTTATAATTAAGTCATAAACAATTAAATACGGTGTTATTGTCATGGCCATTTATCTTCATTAAAAAAGTAAGAAACTTTCCAAGTGGAAGAAAAACTTTCACATGAGTGCCACTGGAAACAGACAATTAAACAAAGAGATAAGCTCTTTTTCAAAAGTTACACTCACAACAGCAAAAACAAAACCAAATGAAAATACCCACTGGCTGTTATTATATATTCTTTCATAGATGTGTTTAGAAAATTGCACAAAATAGATGCTTTCCTTTCAGTGGTAACATATACTGAGAATCTCAAAATACTGGCAGGTTTTCTATTTTGAATTTTATTATGAGGAGGAGAAGTTCAGGGCAGACAGGCTATGGGATTACATGAAATCATTTAGAACAGAAAAGACTATTAGTAATTTAAAAAAAAAACCTCACTACTTTTCCAAGAGGTATGCTGCAGTGAAAGCTGTATTTCACTAAGCTTAACTTGAGAAAGCTTTTCCAAGAGGCTGACTAGCATCAAGACTAGATATTGTGATACTGATACCACCAATGTACAGTCATCACAGCCACTGCCGCAGTGGAGCCGCAGTAGCTACAGATGTGCTAATCCACCAGAAAAAATGGAGTGTATCATAGAACCACAGAATGGTTTGGGCTGGAATGGACCTTAAATACCTCTAACACCCCTGTGATGGGCATAGACACCTTCCACAGCTTCTCTGGGCAACCTGTTTCAGTGCCTCACTGCCCTCACAGTAAAGAATTTCTTCTTAATATCTAATTTAAATCTATCCTCTTTCAGCTTAAAGTCATTTCTCCTTGTCATATCACTATCTGCCCATGTAAAAAGTCCCTCTCCAGCTGTTCTGTCAGCCCCCCTTAGGTACTGGAAAGTGCTGTAAGGTCTCCCTGGAGCCTTCTCCTCTCCAGGCTGAACAGTACCAACTCTCTCACACGGTCTTTATAGGAGAGGTGCTCATATTCATATTCGTGAATAAGAAACTAATGTAAAATACTGGAGACAAAATAATATCTGGTGATGTTTCCAAATACTATTTTGTTCTTCAATTGAATGTGACTGGCAAAAATGAAGACTTGTGGATGGTAGAGGCATTTATCCCTCAATATCCACTCCTGCCAACACTCTTTTTCCACTTAACATAAAATGCAAGATACTCAGACTAGAGAAAAAACAACTGCTGCATTTTTCCATTATCACCTGGAAAAAAAAATGTAAAAGGAAGTTATTCCCTGATTGCAAATTCTGCAAAAATTCACCGTCTCTCATGGAGAAAAGGTAAGACTGGTCACTTGTACAGGCAGCAACTCTGATTGAATTTCTCTAAGTTTATGTTTATCCTTTCACTTGGAAGAGAAATACCCATTTTAAAATACCCCCAACTCTATGAACTTTAATCTCACAGTTTTACATTGCAGTACCAAAGATGAGAGCATACTTTCCTAATAAACTCCATTCCTAAATTACAGAGCACTACGATTAAGATCCACACAACATCCTCAGTGCCACAGATTCTCAGTTACCTCCAAAGAAGGTCTTCCCTTTCCACAGAGAGATCAGCATCAAGAGAGAAAAAAAAACACACAAGCAACATACTGATGGGAATAACCATCCAAAACATCACAGGAAACACGGCAGTGGTAATTTGGCCAAAAATGGCCAGCTGTGTTGACAGTTTTTACAGCATCATGTACCACCCTAACTGGAACAACATGCTATCCAGCTACTCGAGAAAAAGCTTTCAGAAGGAAGAGAGGGTGCCCACCAGTCGCTCCTCCTTTGTTGTTGAAAACCTAACTCCACTAACCACATACATCATGTGCGTGACCTGCCAGTCCGCAAACCCCTCCAGTGACCAGTGCAGAGTGTTTAACACACTGGAACGAGACCCGGCATCTGCGAGCAACACCAAGAAAGAGCTGGCACTGGGCATCTGGCTCACCAGCAGCATCCTGCTCCTCATCATTGCTGCAATCCTCCTCTACGGCTGCCTGCACCTCCTGTGCCGCAGGAGACATGAGCGCTTGCAAGAACAAAACAGGACCTCCAAACAAGACCACGAGGAGGCATGGACCAAAAGCGTGGCTTACACCTCAGAGGAGTTCAGCAGACAGAGACAACAGATGCAGGACACGGAAGAAAAGCATCCAGGTGGCATCCAGCTGGCCACAATCATAGAGAATCCCTCTGTGTGCAATGAGCCTGTCACGTCAACTTCCCAAAGTCGGGAACAAGTTCCAGTAACGAGACAGTGCTCTGCTATAAATTAGAAACTCTTTGTCAGGGAGAAGATTTTTACTCCGTATGATATCCCAACTGCTTCCAACACATCACGTGCATTGCCAGCGCTCACAACAGGGAGCTCTGACTTCTCACCCCAGCGCTCTCAGCTGTACCTCTGGTGTCATATCCCTCTCCAACAATCTATACGCATCCAGAAGTACTCAGAAGCAAAGGTTCACATTCCCAAGAAGTGAGCACTTCAGTTACACTCCATTGTTTTAAAATGAAGCATGTAGCAAATAATTGGTTTACATTTCAAGGGGATTTTTTGGTTGCTTTTCTTTAGTCTAAAACAGCAAGCAAATAGAAAAATTAATCAAAAGTGACCATGAGAATTTTTGTAGGTTTTTGGGGTTTTGTGTATTTTTTTTTTTAACTAGAGTGAATAAGACTGAGTAGAAGTTTTCAGATGGCAACCCAGCCTGCTACACTACAGGCAACTGGAACATACACACAGAATGCAGTGGGGTTTGACAGTGTGAGTTTTGCTCATACAAATTTAACTGCTTCCCAAACCACACACTGCAAACTACTACATTCAGATTATATACTTCACTGTCCATGGTGCTCTCCATAGCTCCCATGTGCATTGAGGTCAGTCTCAGTATGTAAGCTAAACTCACCAGGATTTTTGTGGTATCCTTTCATCTGTCTTTGAAATTTTCCCTTGGTGTAAATACATGCAGCACAGTGACTTTGTAAGGACACTTCTAATTAAGGAAACATCCTGAGTTATCATATTTTGCACTCTTCTGCTCCCACCACAAGCTACCTTCTGCTCCATGGGCCAGTGACTCCCTGTAGGGGTAATGGAATTCAGAGAAGCAGCTCCCGGCCCTTCCTTCTCTCTTTCCCTTTCAGTTTCAATGATAAAACTCACTAATCAGCTGCAAATTTCTTTCTGATTGCACAGTACATTTTGAGTAATGAAGGAGGGCAAGATAGTAAAAATACATTTTATTTTTGTAAGAAGAAAACCTGCCGATTATCTTACTCTGCCTCGAGCTTCATGGCAAAGTGCCAAGGTCCTTTAGACAGAAACCTGTTCACCCTCACAACATTACAACTCTTGTCTGACTTGCATGCGTAAGTCATCCTGTTTTAAATCTCTTAAGTGCGTTTGTGTTCCATAAAAACATAATAAATCTTAGTATTGCTATATAGTACATATAAAATACAGGATATTTTGCCTAGAAAACAAAGGTATACTGTGACTGCAGGCATTTTAAATTGTTATTGGTATGAATGTATGTGTGAAGTCAGCTCTCACCAACACAGCTCAGTTGTACCAGTAAAAGCTGGAGAACTGTTAGCTGGGCACATGCCATCCCTTTCCACCATGCCCTGGAAGTTAGGGGAGCGTACAATTTTGGCAAGAGAGTGCCCAATTTCACAGCAGGTAGCAGATCTCTTCAGCTACTCTATTTTGACAACAATTCCCACGACTTGTGAAAGGCATCAACTCTCATAGTGGTAGGAAGACACAAGTTGGCATAAGTTTGATGCATCTTCTTTTTTTTTTTTTACTAGGATAAGCATGGCACACAGAAATGTATGCTGATGGGGGCAAGTATTACTTTTAGAAATCAGTTCAAAAGGCATCTGTATTGTGTGAAGTCAGCCATAACGTTTTGTCCACCTGCTACAAAGCATTTCCTCCAGCTGACGTTTTTCTTTGTCTTGCACATCAGTCTCAAATAAACTTGAGAATGATACCAGTGTACCACTGTTTCAAATGATGGTCTTTCATGAAATAGACACTGAAAAACCCTCTTCAGACAATGAAGCCAACACTACAGGTTAACTTCTGAAAAGGGGTGGCTGGGTAGCGGGGACAGAAAAAATGCTTTAATATCTTTCTGTAATCAAATTAATGGTAACACTCCTGTGATCGGGTTTTCATCAAAAAAAAAGATGATTTTATTGTTAAAGGGATGAAGCCAAGACACATATTTTTATCTCTGCATCTTGGGCCTTTGAAAACCTGTTTACTTCTCTGCATCTCTGTTTCTTTATGTGGGTTTTAAGGCAGTCCAATACACATATTTCCATACATTTATGTTATATACACATGTACATATCCTACTGATAACAAGAAGCAGTTCAGTCTTAAAGCAGTTAAGAGGCAATTCACCTACTGAATTTTGTTATTTGTATATAAACACATATATCCAAAAAGACACGTCTGTATCAGACTGAGACAACAAAGTGGTACCACAGAAGTGCTCCCAAAGGGATTTACCTCATTTAAGTATAACACCATTCCACCCACAGAGTTTACTGTGCACTACTTAGATAAACATTTATATTATCTTACAATCAATGAACCATCTCGCACCCACTGCAAATGAGCCATGTATACAGAGTGTCATCTGTGTTCTCCACTAGCTTTGAACAACTCCTGTCATCACACGCTCATAAAACTACATGATTCTTCCTCTCTTGCTCAGAAAGTTTTATTACAGATTCATTCAGGTTCATTCTAGCAGTTCTGTGTGTTGGTAGTTCACTGTCCAGTTTTAACCGCCATCTAGTAAGGGGCAAACATTCTAAGTGATTACCAAACTCATAACAAGTTACAACATAGTGCAGATTGATGTTAATTACCAGTAGTACATAAAAACCATTATATTCACATTGAAAAGTACCTTCCAAAAGGGGTGTTTTTCAGAAAACAAATGAGTTAGCACCTACAAAATGCAGGAGACGTGCAAACATGAAACTCTTTGGAAAATACTGAATAAGAAAGCAAGTTCTTAAATGCTGGTCTATACAACCTCTATAAAACCAGGCATTTCATCAACATGCAAAGTTAGTTCAAATCCCCAGAGGAGACTCTTTCTTATATGTACATTATTAAATATTTTATGCATCCACTCCTTGTTGCCAAATTCCAACCTGCTAACATTAATTTCATTAATCCTACACTCACCTTACCTGAGTAAAGGAATTTCAATGACCATGCTCAACAATCTTTTAAAACATTCCAGCTCACTTAAAAGCCTGAGGAGCTTTTAGGTCAGCCCCTTCCCACCTGACAGCTCTGCTTCCGTCTCAGCCAGGAGAAATAAGTTTTATCTGCGGGGTTTTGTTTTGCTAATTGGATGAAGATACCGCTCAGGAAAGTTTAGATGCAGAAGAGAATGTTGCTACAACTGTCTATGCTAAGCATCAATACACATTAGCATAGACCAAATGCTTTGATTCATTTAGAAATATCTGAGAATATGTGAACACTTGGAGATCCAAACTAAAACCTTCTTTAATTACACTTATACAAGCATATTGCTTGTGCAAAGCTTCTGCACAGAAAGTGTTTAGCCATTACAGTGCAATACATGCATGTATGAGTGTACATACGCACGAGAAATCAAAACACTCCTGACTTGACCTAAATAGACACATGCATTGCTAAAGAAACCTAAAAACTCCAAAATGCCAAAAAACTGCAAACCAACCAGCAACAAAAAAATCCAGTATGGAAAAGACATTTCTTCACTATGAAGGCAAAATGATCAATGTGAAGCGCTCAACTGAGTATCTTAAACAGTTCAAGAACTCAAAAAAGACAAAATTAAAAAAAAAAAAAAAACCCACAACTACTCCATATTTCATTATTATCCAGTCAGGAGGCAATTCAACAACGTTCAAGGACCCAAACAATGATGTGCTCTGTAACAAGCCTGGTATATACTACACAGAACAATATCATGCAGTCATATTCCACACTAGAATGTGTAGCCTCCATCCTGTAAGAATTCCTATCTGTTACTGGCTATATACAGTAGAAGTGTAAAAAATTCCATTCAGATATCCTCAATTTTGAACCACACTAGATTCAAGAATAAAAACATACCCCTCTCAAAATTTAAAATTACAGAGAGTCAGGAATATTTGCTAATATAGGCATATTTAGTTATGAAATTTGCTCCAGAAATGCAAGTAAGACCCTCCTCAATTGCTTCTGTTCATAGATAAAAATAATCAAGATTTCTGAAAATGTAGAGCTCTCAGAGTAAAGATTACTAAACTCATTTTAATAATGTAACCTGACTGATAAAAAAGTGTTCCTCAGTTAATCCTCTGTCACTCACCCCACTGTATCATCACTCAAATAAATTGAGCTAGCAATCTCTATGAAATTCAGTGGGCTTTTTGCTCTACGCTGCATCTGGTCAGCTCCTAAAATAGTAAGGAACACAATAACTCTAATGTAAAAAAATCCCACTTTCCTATAATTTACTGTTCCCTGTTGGCAAATAATTATATAAAACACTATTCACAGGACCAAACAATCAGCTGTTACATTCCACATTAAGACATGTGAATCATTTTCTACTTCCTTTACATTTTAAAAGCATGAAAGTTTTACAAATACAACAGATATTTTAGGACTGAAATCTGTAACTTCTGAGCTATCTCTTCAGCTCTCAAAAACTAGATTGCTGGGCAGAGATTGCACCACATAACTAGGATATGATGTACCGAAAATAACAGTAATACACAGACTAATTATGTTCATGTTTAAGCAGGAGGTAGATAATGAAAGTAGCCTGACATGACACTTAGAGCACACCTGTATAAATTAAAAGTATAACTGAGTACATATTTTTAAATAATGTTAAATAAGAATAAATAATTTTAAAGCTTTTTTTATTGTCAATTCTCTAATTTGATCCTTATATTTTCATTTATCTTTTCCATACTTAAAATTTGCCTCCCTGGTATTCAGAAAAACAATGCAAAATATAGAACAACAGCTCATTAAATATTCTCAAATGATTTGTTGAAGATATCACTGCTGGTTTTTACTGCTGTTGGAAGTAGGTTAATATTTCTGACTGGATATTAAAAATGCAGATATCTGTTAATGCATTATGCCTTTAACGGTCATTAAGACTCAGGTAATAATTCTGAAGCATAAGAAATTAGATCTGCAGTGATTAGGGAGAACAAATCTATTACCCATGAGCATAGCATTGGTCCTCTGAATACAGGTTAACTTTCCTCACTCGGGTAGCCTCATGAAAACCCACAACTATTCTCTTGTGTCAAGTGCTCTTTCAACTTGTCACCCACATAAGCTCCTTTCCAACCTTAGTGTCAGGGATTGCCTTAAGGCAGAGAGTACGTGAGTGCATATCATGTACACTTCTACTGAAAACCTGCATAAATCTTCCAGGCCCTCCTAATCTGCAAAGCAAGAAACATGACGCTAATGCAGGAGATGAGATGACCTGAATTCCAATTTCATCCCAATGACTTTGAAGTCCTTGGTTGGAATGCTACATTTAAAAAAAATAATTTAAGCAGTTTGGTATCTGATAGTTTATGATGCTCAGAATCTATATTCCTTTTAAGTCAGATAACATCTGAAGCAATTTTTCCTACATTTTCCCTTTACTTCAGTCTTGCTCACTGTAACAAGGGAGCAGCTGCACCCAAGATGGGCTCTCATTCTCACTTCACCAGATGAGTAATTAATCTTTTCTTTAAGTCTGCTCTGCCACGATAAGCAACTGTGCAATGCAAGGTGGTTGAGAGAAGGAATTATTTTTAGCTATGTCAAATAAGACTAACCATCAGACTAATCACTTGCACTTTGGCTGAAACATATGGTGAGCTTCACAGCAAAGTCTGAAAAAAAAGTGTATGTTCAATTTAAAATACACACAGAATGTATTTCAGGTTATTTAATAACTTTCATATACCATACTTTCTATAATTAAAAAGAGATACCTTTAAACATTAGCAAACCATAAACATAACAGGAATTAAATCCAACCTTTGATCCATAGAGATACTGTGGCTGTGCATTAGGCTGCTTATCTCGCTGAAACTCCTGAGAAAATGGTAGCACGGTCCGAACAAATCTATAAAAAAATAGTAAAGAATTAATTAATTATACTTAGGTTAGTCAGTGTGCACCTGATCCACCTTCCCTGTGTAATACTGCTTTCGTCTGCATATAAAATCAAAGCCGGACTGGTAGCCTTTCAGCCCTAGTAGAAACTGGGGAAGCACATAGCCTGCATTGCCCAAAAGCATGGACACAAATCATAATGCAGTTCAACTGTTACTGTTCTTCCAGTGGTGTGCAGAGTCCCAAAATAGTCCTCACCTCTACTCTAGCCCAGTCCAGCAAATAAGGAAGCAATTAACAAAGTAGCAATAACCTCTCACGGGGAGTAAGGAAGCTCCTTGTGCTCACAAAATTAAACCCTTGAGAAAGAAGTACACCTTCAAAGAAGAACATGACATTTCTATTTAATGTTTTGGAGCTTTATTCCCCCCAAACTCCCAGCAGGAGAAGTATGTTAGATTGTTACCTTTAAAAAAAGTCATGAGGAAGGGCATAATCCTTGTAGCAAAATTAATGCTTCCAAAGTTTGATTAGACTTTAGTGTGAGGAAATACCAATACAAACCACGTTTAGCTTTACCTTTGTATACTGTTAAGAGGACTGCAAGAGAACTACAAAGATATGGAGCAGTGCAAAAGATAGGATCAAACAGTCAACTGAGTGCCCAGCTGAGGGTACCAAAGTCAGAAGGATTACTCACAAGTCCTCTTGTGAACAAGCAGCACAGACTTTCCCCCCAATGTTCCCTGTTAATAGTGTAATGAACATTTGGCAGCACTACAGTTTTAGTGCAGAAAG